TCCAGAAGAAAAACAGCTATGTGGAAGTCTCTATACTCTCTCCAAGAGAGAAAAGACCATAACTAAGTAGCCACTGAACACCTCCTAAGACTAGCAGTAAATACCAGTGTTTTGGACTGTGCTCTACATTTTCATATTTATAGATCTGTGTTTTCCCAGATTGCTCAAAGAATGAACAAGGCAGAAATAAAATGCTCTGGCAACTCGCAACWGATCTCAGTCTTTGCATAGATAACTGTTAACAGTCTTAGTGATAGCTTGTTGGATCTGTTAAAGAAAAACATATTGTCTCTGAAGCTTAGCAGGACTAGGTGATAATGAAAAGGACCTGAAAATACACAAATTCAATCAAACTGGTTCTAGTTGTGTGCAACTGTTTTCCGCTAAGCTGGGAGAAAAGGCAGGGGTGACCTCATTAGGTTGTCTATTGACAATGTGGGAAATTCTGCAACTTTATGGGCTAGCCATAATCTGGACCTCAGGATTTTCTTTACACGCACTACATTCATTATGTTCTAGTTCTACAGTCATATTTCCTCATGCATTAAAGGAACATTGCAACTTATTTCTCTAGAGCTGCGCAAAGTATTTGCATCCCAGCCACTCTAGACTAACAGTCTTCTTATTAGAGGGAATTTACTACTTATCTTTCCTTTTAAATGAGTATCCCAAGAGGTGCACATGACCTGGGATTCACACTCTTAGTTGGAAATAACTTTTCCTTGGTGGCAAATTTCTGTTTTTGACTCCTCAAGATATGACTTTTAAAGCAATTCTCTCTCTCTCTCTCTATATATATATATATATATTTACACCTATGTATTTATATTTACTGCTGCAGTTAACTCTTTTCTGTGTCACTAGGTTTAAGATGGTGGACTGCAACTGCATCGTGTGGGGCTTATTTTGGCTCCTTGTGCTGGTGTTTTTAGGCTGGCCCATAAGCATAGCCTTGTGCTCCCTCTATGGATTCCTTTCGCCTCTCACTACATTGATAGGACTGGATTCGTTCAGTGAAGTGCTGCTGAAGGGCGCGAGTTTGGGGAGGCAGTGCGCTCAGAACGCGCACAGCGGCAAGGCCCTGTGCTGAGCAACGAGGACGGCCCCACGTGCTGCTGCATGCTACCAGCTTTCGTTCTTTACTCTGTTGACCTTGCATGTTCTCCATTGTAGCCCAGCTTTTCTCAGTTTACAACTGCGTACTTTTCATTTGAAGTTGTCTGTAAGTGTCTGTAAGAAAACTTAATAATCTAGCAGTTGCTCTTCTAAAATATACGATAAAAGTTYGGGGTACTGTTCTGAAGAAAGGAATACCAATATTTGGTAAATTACTTATTTGGAAAATAAGTAATTCCAAATATTTAGAGACACTAGCTAAGTATGTATCTCTCAGGATGTRAGCTCTGTGCCAAACCTAGTTAAATAGTTGAAAACCCTGCCTCAGAGGTAGAATGCACCTAGGATGTCTGATTAGGTTGCTTGAGAAGGGTAGATTGTGAATGTTATTTGGAATGTTATTTTTGTGACTATTTTAATCCACACAGTATTAAGTAATAAGAGAAGTTCTGATCTGATAGCCTTGCTGTATGTATTTCTCTGTGGTCACATTTCAATGCTTGTTTAGTTTATTTCATTTTTAATAGGCATTAGAGTTCTTCTGCATTACCATTTTTATTCTGTGTATATATTCTTTGAAAGTATTTTTTTCAGTAGAGCAACTTTGCCTGTATGGGTTCAACTATATTAAATAAATAAACTACTGTGAACACTAACTGAAATGTCTTCTACTTTGTTTGATTTATATTATATTTTATGATACACTGAACAGCAAGCATTGTCTAACCATWTACCTACCATTACTTGTAATATTTTGGGTTTCTAAGAAACCCAAACCCTCTGGACTTCTGTGTCTCCAGAAAAAAAAATATTTTTACTTTTATGGCTGTTTGCTGGCTCTGTATTCTCCCTTTGTTKTTAGAGTGAACAATTACATGAAAAAATGAGACTGGGTTTCTAGAAGTTTATCTRTTCTTGCTTCAAAAGGCATTGCTTAGCTTGTAGTGAGAAGCTGGCAAGGTGAAAGTCACTGTTTATTTGCTATGTTTCCAGAAATGGTGTTGAAATGATCGGTCCTAGTTTAAAGGGGCTTAAGTGATGGAGAGACAGTTGTGGTGGACCAAAACTCCAATGCTATACTGATTTACCAAGAAACTAAAGAAATTGTTCCCTTGAAAACCTTCAAAGGGGTCTTTAGTGACTTTCTAGAGGATGTCCTAAGATACACACAAACTCACTGAAGACGAGAGAAGTCCACAGGTAGTTGTGCATGAGTCAGAGGACAGCTCCTGCAAAGCACGCTGAGTTTAATCACTTTGGATAGGCATGTCTTTCCAGTTATTTATAATGTAAAAGTGAATATACACTGGTATTGTTATTTATTTGTAGAATACTGATGCCTTAAAATTTGTCAAAATTAGATGTTATCTGAGAGACCCCTTGCAAGAACTCCTTTTCTTTGTTAGTTATTCAGTTGTTTGTCACTTCACCAGTTTGTCACTGCATGAGTATATTCAGTCTGGATGACAGAAGGAAGTTTCCCCAGTTTAGCAGTGAGATACTGGAACAGAGTTGACACAATGGAGTCAAGTGCCTAACTATTTTTGACTAGGGTTTTTATTAGTTCTTGAAAAGGGTAAATAATATGATATGGACCTCTGTGGTTGCTTGGAATTGTACTCGATAGCCTAAGAAACCTCCCCTGTCTTGCCAAAACTGTAACTATATCGTCATGTAGTGCCTACGTCAGGTTGGATATTCTGAAAAAGTTTCAAAGTTAATAAGCCATTTTTTAGGGGAACTAAGTGATTTTCCCTACAGCGGTGGGTTGAGATGGGATGAGAACAGGGAGTTTTTTCCCTTTGTTCTGTCCAAAGTGAATGAAGAAAATTCTTCCCTTAACTGTAGACTAGAAATTGAACGTGGGAGTGGAAACCAAACTGTTCAGGTCCCGAGATGGCCCAAAGAGGATCAGCTGTTATTTTCAGCCAAGCAATGAAGATCTGGAAGAGGATTGAAACTGGGAAACTCAAGAAGCACTGGCAAGACTAGGTGAAGGAGCTGCATTTGAAGATGGGTAGAAGAATGAGGGATGTGGGATGGATCATGTTGGGGTGATAGAAAGAAGTGTATGGAAGAGATGAAGAACATACATACACCCGGGAGTGAATGCTCATCTGCAGCCTGTGTTCAAGACCCTCTGACTCCTGCGACACAGGCAGTGGGGAATGTAAAAGTTCCAGCATTGCCGGGCGGAGAAAGAGCGGCATTATGATGCCGTTTAAGTTGCTGCAATCTGATGAATGGTCATAGCTTAGAAATGTCCCTAACTTGGTGCTGGGTTGTGATGTTTCTTTGTACCCATGGGTAGSGGATTGCAGTAAACCAGCATGATGATAATAATAATACATTTTGAATAAAGTTGGCCACTGATTGTTTTTTCATTATTATTAGTAGTAGTTTCTGTAAATTAAGAAAACAACATAGGGCTTARGCCTTCAGCAAGTAGTTTTGAGTGTGTGAATCTAGAGTAGTAAGAAAAAGCATCTAAACCTTGGAGCGGAGTGCTTTTTCAGAAAGACCCTTGTCCTCAGTTGGCCTCATGACTAATTCAAGCATCACTTCATGCTGAGCTGGATGGTGTTACACAGGAGAATTTGAATGCTTTGGAGAATAGAATTTATATTTTTTAATAGAATGTTTTGGAGAAAACACAATGCCGATTGTCTTTTTTCTTTTTTTTTTGGACCCTGTTTTTTGAAAAATATAACTTCCTCTGTTTCATCACTAAATTCAAGCACAATGATAGTTTGTGCTTGTAGACTGTAGATTCTGCAATGACTGACTATACAGCTAAAATTTCAGCAGTGGATTCAGTATTCATCTAAAATGAATGCTAACATAAAAGGTRGAAATATTAGATTCATATTGACCACAGTTTGTGTTCTGAATATGAAAAAAAAAAAAAAGAAAGAGAAATAAATGTATCCAGAGTCAAATGCTAAAACTAGTGTGTGGTTGCTGTGACGCAATGTCTTCAGACAGCCTTCAAAGTGATGGAACAAAAGAGTGCTTTTTGTTCGACCTATTCAGCACAAACAATTACTTGAATATTTTCTTTCCTCCCCTCTTGTATAACTCCACAAAGATTAAAGAGAATTGAAACACACTTCTGAAAAAAAATCACACTTTTGTTGAAAGCTACTTGAAATATTTGTCTGTGGTAACTTTTTGTCTGCATAGAAATAAGCTTTTTGAAAACGATATGATACCARACTGTGGAGTGGCAGACACTCCAGAGGGCTGTGCTACGATTCAGAGGGACCTGGACAGGCTGGAGAGTTGGGCAGACAGGAACCTCGTGAGGTTCAACAAGGACAAGTGCAGGGGCCTGCACCTGGGGAGGAATAACCCCAGGCACCAGTATGGATTAGGGTTTGGCCTGCTGGAAAGCAGCTCCACAGAGAGGGACCTGGTTGACACCAAGTTGACCACGAGCCAGCAGTGCCCTCGTGGCCAAGAAGGCCAATGGGTGGACCCTGGCCTGCATCAGGAGGAGCGTGGCCAGCAGGTCGAGGGAGGTGATCCTGCCCCTCTCGGCTCTGGTGAGGCCGCACGTGGAGTACTGTGTGCAGTTCTGGGCTCCCAAGGACACCWGGGATAGGGAACTTCTAGAGAGTCGAGCGCAAAGCAACGAAGATGATTAAGGCACTGGAGCGTCTCTCATATGAGGAAACACCAAGTGAGCTGGGCCTATTCAGCCTGGAAAAAGGATTGAGAGGGGATCTTATCAACATGTACAATATGCCTGAGAGGAGAATGCAGGAAGGATGGGGCCAAGCTCTTCTCAGTGGTGGCCAGTGACAGGACAAAGGGCAATGGGTACAAGTTGAAACACAGAAAGTCCCATCTCCATGTGAGGAGGAGTAACTTCTTCCCTGTGAGGGTAACAGAGCCCTGGCACAGGCTGCCCAGGGAGGTTGTGGAGTCTCTTTCTCTGGAGATCTTCCAAACCCGCCTGGATGCCGCCCTGKGCCMYSTGCTCTGGGTGWCCCTGCTGGAGCAGGGGGGTTGGACTGGATGATCTCTAGAGGTCCCTTCCAAACTCAACTATTCTGTGAAAACAATGTTATAGTTAGATTGCTGTCTCAATCAGAATACAATATATGTTATTGACTTCCAGCAGCAATTGTAGTAACTGCTAAAATGTAGGCTGAAAAGTAAAACATTTTAAAATTATTACTTATACCTAGTAGCTTCTTCCTGTGGGTTCTGGAGCGTTAGTTGTCCTGCTCATCATTCAGTTGCTCTTTCATGTCTTGCTGGTATCACAGAGCACCAGCTGTGTCAAGGCCATTCCTGCGGCACAGAGTCCCAGGAGGATTTGGGGCTGACAAGCTGCGGGGTTATCATGAGATGAGAAAAGCATTATCTTTGTGATGCTTTTCCTGCTCCGTCTCTCTCCAAGTAATAATTAGTTGGTGATTACCTAAAATATTTTGGAGTGTTATGTGAATCCTCCAGCAAGCAGGAGCTTGGTGAATGTTTGCCAGCTTGGCTTGCATTCTTCTCTCCTTCCTTTCTTCAGTCCTAATCTAGTTTTCTTCTTAGAGCAGCACAGCACGTTGTGCTCATACTGGAAACTGGCTGGGTCTGCATAATCATCATGTAATTCTACAGCAAATTATTTCCATTTGATCATAGGAGGAATTGAAATCGAATGATCAAATACTGAATGAAAAGAGCCTGATGTCAGGCATTTTTCAATGATTAGCAGTGCCGCTCCTATTGCTTTATCAATTTTGTTTAGTCCTTGAATGACAGAAATAGGAAAAAGCCTGCTGAATCTCCCACAGTGAATGTAGAGACCATGACACACAAGCGGTGTTTTTGTAATACTTTGAAATTTATTGTCTTTCACTTCCTGTAAAGTAAATGCATGATAAACAGATAAGAATTGATGGAGTGTGATGTATAAATATTCTATACATCATCATCTAAATGAATACTCTTTACACTTTGCAAAACTGTAATTGTAAAATTGCAAAATTGCAAAATTGCAAAATACCATTTGCAGTCATGAATACTCATAGAAACAACCACCTCACGTTGAGCTTTATAGAAATTTTACTCATGGACATTAGCTAACATTTAACATTTTTTACATTTCTTTCCCTAATTCTAACTTCTATGGCACTACGTAAAATGAGGACCTGTTCTTCCCTCCAGTTTTCCCTCAGTTTTCTTTACTCACTTCTTATGCAGTAAGTTCACCTTACTCCATATAACTTTTTCCCAGTTTGTCTGCTTGTGACATCACATTAGTTGCTTTGGCAGCAGTGACATTTTGATACCCACCTGCATGTTCACAGCAGTTCCAGAGGCAAGAGGCAAAACAAGGATTTTTATGACGTTGTTGTGATTTTCAGCCTGCCTGCACTTCCGTGCTCAGTTGAGTTCCAGGACCACCTTTTATTCATTTAAACACTGAAAAGCTTCTTTTTTTCTTTCTTTTCTTTTTTTTTTTTTTTTTTT